ATCCTCTCATTAATTGATGGGGCGGAAAGAGCTCGTCTTTCAGGAAGCTCGAAACGAGAGAGCACGTCTGGAAATATCTGTTCGAGAGCCTCGCGTCTTCCGGTAGGTATCAAGAGCCTGTAATAATCGCCTCAGTCATGCTCGAAGCTTCTGTCAGTGAAAATACGAGCTTCAAGCGATTTGATTAACGATCCACTTCATTTTCTCCTTCCAAACGAAATGACGGTTTTAATACCGTTGGACATGCTGAATTATCGAAATCTGAGCAATATTTCTGCGCTCGATCCTTGGAAATTTTAGGAGAAATCACAACACTCGGAATCTACTTCGAGGAAAATTAAGGAACCTACCAAAATATTCTCTAATACTACTCTACAATACCGCTTACAAAATTAGTAAATTAACAAAGCCTAAGCAATTTGTGTAGACTGCACTTTTGGAAAAGATGTTCCAACGAAGAATTTTAAATCAATTTTACCCAATTCTTATACAAAGAAGATTGAAAATATATCTCTGAAAAAGAGAAGAAATCTAAGAGTCTAACTTTGCAAAAGAAGAATGAAGAATACAAAGATTCTCACAAAACAAGTAAATCAATTTCCTCTTGCCCCAAAAATGAAACAATTTTTCCAAATCCCATCAAACCTTAAACTCCATCAAAATGTTCCCAGATCGACTTCTCCCAATTCCCAACGCATATAAATAGAATGTACCAGAGCAAGGATCAAGAACACAAGGAATCCGATCTCGAGTTCGAGAAAAACCACGTTGCTCGCAAAGAAGAAGCCGCGAGGACACGGTGGCTGGAAATAGGTCCGCACCGTGAGCTCGTCGTCCGGGTCTTCACGTCGAGCTTGCTCTAAACCACTTTCAAATCCCCGTTCCAACCCCCGTGGATCACCATCGAAACCTTTCTTAGATCCAGCAGGATCTACGAGATGGGATGGTTCCAGGTGGTGGGATCGGGCAAACCTCTGTGACGATCTTTGTTGCAGGGTGGTCGAGGACGGTATGTTTTCAGGCGAGACCGATAGCGAGAGAGGCTTGGCGGCAAGCGCTAAAATAACTCGAACGTGTGCTAAAAGCGGCGGCTACCGGAGCGCCGGCCTTGCTACGGCAAGCTTCAAGAGGTATCGCTCTCTTCTCTGCCGATCGACCAGAACCCGGGCCAGTCGGACCGCGTTTCTATAAAAAATCCGCGAAATAATCGTTTACGTCAATTCACGCACACGCGTGTCACGGTGCGGAAGGGAGGGATCGGCCGAGGAAATAGAAGGGAGAGAGAGATTTTTTCCGAGGCACTATTTTTACGGGGAGGCTAGCAGAAGCGGGAAAAGAGGCGAACGAAACTCGTTCTCGCGACGCACTGGTGTATTTTCAGAGTTACTCCGTTACGTCACGGAAACTCGACGTAGAGGATGCTCGAGGAGAGAGACGAAGAAACTTGCTTCTTCGAGAATTAAAGAAATCCACGGATTCGAATGTCTTTCTAGCTTGCATACTGCAATTGTCGATGGTTTAGGTTCGAGTGTCTTTCACATTTTGTCTCATCGGCCAGAGATTGCTTTAGGATTGTTTCGTTTCGGTTCTCACTGTGTTTGGCACGAGGCTGTCCGAGCTGTTGGTTATTTCGCACGTCTTCTAACGTGTTAGCTATTACATCAGACGGTATTATGAAGAGGTGATTCAGGGGAGAGTCGCGAGAGGAACGCGGACTCACGTATACGCCAAGGAACAGGTTGTCAAAGAGTGGAGGAGAACCCGTGGTCAGACGCCTTCGAGATGTTTTACCCCTTATTAGACCTGGTCACGGTTATCTTTAAGCGTGCCACTTCCTTCGTCATGCTCTAATTTGCCGCTTTTTCTGCGCCAGTGACTCTCACTGGTCGAAGCACGCTTCGACGAGGAGGATCGTGGGATTCGAAATAGTAGAAAAGGGTTAATTTGTGTTGATTGACCTACAATTTGGCTGACTAATCATCTCTTCTTCCACCAGTTCTACTTTAGAGAGATGAATAATCCCTTAAACTTAAACTTCAGATATAATTACTCGCAATGCTCGTATATCATAACGAGTCAAATCTTCTCGAATCTCGTTTTATCTATTAACGTCGAATAGAGTATTAATTTTGTCAAATGTATCCATTAGGTCATTCCATAAGTTCGTGTCGAATTTTGTGATTCAGAGCAAGATTTTCAACGGACCTTTAAATTTGATAGAAATAACGTAAGTGCCTTCTTGTTCCACAATCTTTTTCTATTTTTTTTTTTTTTTTTTTTTA